ATTATGATGGACATGACATATCCTTTCTTCCCATGCCTGTGGCGAGGAAGTATTGTAATTGCGAGAAAAATTGATACTGAGATATTATTATATTTCTTTGATGTTATATGACATATGACATGTACCTAGAAAGTACTGGTCGGATTTTGATGAAATTTCCACGCAAGGTTACTAATATATCAAGAACGGAATAGCTAAGTATTTTTTGGGAAATCGGTCCAGTGGCGGCGGAACAAAAGGTCAAACAAAAATTAAAATCGTCCAAACTTCGTTTTTGACGTTTCAGACGATCCTGAATTTAAAAAAAAATATGGTTGAACATTTGTTGATTTGCGTATACTAACACACTTCCAATTCTGATAGTTCTACACATGTATTAGACATATTTCACACATCATAGATTCACCGTACATTTGTCCTTCAAACGTTCGACAAGCGTTCCTGCGTCTGTTGACAACAGCCGCGGCCGGCGCACCGGTATTCGTATATGTCATGTCTCACTGGTGCTCGGTCAACGCTCTGCCGTCTGTGATGCATCCTGCTTTCAGATAATGGTGAGAGTACGGATAGGGTAGGTAAATTATGCTATGGACCAGTTGTATGGACCTATTCGACGGACTTGACCTGTTTAATTTCTCTGTGATACATTTTCGTAACTAACTCTTATTAGAGGGTCTTACTTAAACGCTCGTCCGCCCAACCAAACACAGCCAACCAAAGTAAGCTGTACCGTGCTTTTTTGAAAACTCGTCAGCATGGGCTAGGCTTGGTCTCTGAGACATCAAACGAAAACATAGTCACTATCCCCTATCCAGGATATAAGGTCTATGGCGCTGTCTTATTTCGATAAGGTCGCACTTGTGCTTTTATGAACTGATGCAGGCGTTGCGTGGGAAGTGTAAAGTCAACCTACTTCTTCTACTCTTTTCTTCTAAATCTCATATATATATATCAAGTATGCGAAATCCATTTTTACGTTCAGAGTATCGGCAGTTGAGCTGAATAGACAGCTGGTAGCAACTCTCTCTGTGAAAAGATGACGGGAGATACAAGGACATGCTGATAAAGAGCACTATATTTTGAAAAAAAGTGTCCCAATACAAACTTTGTGCTTTGTTGATGTCAAATTGGCTATTAATAATGAACGAAACACATAACTTTAACATTTATTCTCTAAATACGTTATAATCACCATCGTTATCTTATGTTTTTCGTCAGTGATTAAGCAAAGAGTGAGGGCTGAATTTGAAGACGACATCTATGTACTCTTGTAACTGCGGTTTTTTGTCATAGCTTTCTTCTCGTAAACGGTTACTGGCTGATCATATTATACTGGAATCTGTTGGGGCTAAGTCCGATGAATACGGTGGGTGTGGTATCATTTCTCAGCTCAGATCCAGTAGCTATTGTAGTACGCTTAGCGATATGTTAAACCTCCGCTCGATAAGCAGATCTTTGAAGAATTGGTGTGGTATCCAAACACCAAACTTGTCAGCCTTGCGTAAAGCATGCAAATGATTTGCTACCGTGCCATGAGAGCACACGAGCTCTGCAGCCAAATTACGCGTGATGCTTTGATGGTCTGCTTTAATTAATTATTAAGACTCACAAAAATTCAAAAAATTATAAGATAATGTAAAAACCACAAAAATGAATTTGAGCGATGCCGACTGTCCAAAGCTTTTTTAAAAGCATTCACCGATGAAGTGATTATCTTATTCGAAAATAGTCCATTCCATGAATCAAACACCCTGTTAACTAAACAAATGGTCTTGTAGTGGTCTTGTATCGTTTTTCTCTTTTTTTTTTGAAGTTGTGTCAACGTAAATGATTTTTGGTTAGGCAGGCCTTGGCCATGACCGCCCCTAAAAATTTGACTTGACTATCCTAAATCTGATTTTCAAATCGCCTATATGACGTATTTCCATGAATGCAGATATTTTGAATACTTTTAGCCTGTCTTCATAGCTAGGTCATCAGATGCCTAACTGTGGCGCGTCGCTAGTCATAAGATCATGGTTTTATGTTTATTTAATAATCTGTTTCCTCTGGACGCTCAGACTTTGATTGATCTATCAAGGAATAGGGTATCACCACAGTATCGTTAGAACTACTGCTACCTTGGAGACTCTTTCTCATATGTTACGTGCAGCTTCTGCAGCAGATTGTTCAGATTGCGACTATCAGACATGGGTTCACATATAACTAATTTTTTTGTTGTACTTTAAGCAATAAAATCAGTTCGCGATTAGCTCTTTATATTTTCCTCGCGATAGACTTGACTCTACTCTTGGTTTTCTGGTTTTCTATAACTATATCTAACCCAATAATCCCAAATGTCCCTCTCTTTCAGTAACCTTTCGCGGTTCAGTTCCAGCACGAACAGTAAGAAAGAATATTTTGCTTCAGGCCATTGGTCGCCTGCGAACCGTTTGAATAGACTGTATCTTTGAGAATCTCCACAAATTTTCAAACATCCAGCAAAACCTGTATGTGAACGTTTCGAAATTGCAATCGCCGTATGACACGTGGGCCACCATATCCGGGGTGGGGGGGAGGAGTGGTCATGGAAGATCCATATTGCGGTACCGTGTTTGTTAACAAAACTGTTAACTCAGTCCTCCTCATTTGTATGACAGGAAAGGTCGCTAAATATTCCAAGAACCTGTTCGTATAGATAGTATAAAAGTGGAAATTACATTCACATCAAGTTTTTTGTCGAAAAAAATTTTGTTGCCTGGTAGGCAAATAAGCACGTGGGTTCTTCCACAACCAATTGCCAATCATTGAAGAAGGTTGAAAGGTTGAGTCTATGTACTTTTTCACAATGGCCGATTCGTGGTTTGGGGCGGAAAACCCGATTCCCTGAGTTCCCCTATGTACCTTAAAGATATTAAAATATGCAAAACTAAAACATGTGACGTATTAATAAGTCAATGTTTAAGCGTAATTTTTAATAAAAATACGATTAGTATGATTCTTTTGCTCAAGTTATATACCACTAACCCTATTTCTACTAAAACAATATAACGGTTTTTCTGGCTTTTTTCAGTATTATCACGTATAAACCACATAGATAATTCGACGTTCCAGTACTTTAAAACTTAAAGTCCGAAAGGGTTCATTGAAACAGATTTATTGGTCAATGGCACAGATTGTACTGTTCCATGGAAAATTTTAAGATTTTTCAAATGACTGATTCATAATATAATCACAATTCTTATTATAATTGATTCCCGTTTGGTTCTGTATTCCACGACGGACGCTCCGCTACCGTTGAAAAGCCCCATACAAAGAGATAAAAAACCTTAATGAACAATTTTGTGTATAGCCAGTGGCGATGCGTTGTTCTCTTACAATTAGCAGTTAGTTAAAAATCCAATTTTTATTTTCATAATGAGGCCTCTCAAGATAGCATCTATCGGCGGACGATCGGTAAGCTGTTGTTTCGATTATGACCGGTAAAGCTGCTGGTGTATACCTTAGGAGAAATGATGTAAGCTACCATATATGATGTGTGGATGGTGTTAACCAAAGAAATGGCATCAAGTAGATTGACTCTGCATTATCCACGCAATTCTGGACAAACGAACTTTCAATGTGCAGCATTTAAGTCAACTGTTGCACGCTCTGGTATCGTTATTATTCGATGCCTGTGGTAATAAATGTGCTTTGACGTGAGGCCATAGAGTAGAATGAGTATCAGTAAAAAACAGCATTGCTGATTAAAATAAACTGACATTATGCACGATGCAGTAAGCTTTTGTCGTTCTTATATCTTTATTATTGGCCAGCAATAAACCCTGGTAGTTCTAAAAAAAATCATACCGGTAGAGTTGATTGTTCGACTTTACTAGCAAAGTTGAACTGAAAAGCGGATTTTTTCTAATATTTTACAAAAGTGGAAATATCTCATGTACAACTGATTTTCGGATAACCTTACACCTTGTATACTTCAGAGAAAGGAGCTACTACGAAATTAACATGTGTATTGGCATTTACTTAGAATTCAATGCTCTAAATGAATTTTCTCCTAGGAATGTATTAGTCGTCAACAACACAAAAATCTTTTATAACAGATTTTAGGGGGTGCTCAGTTCTTTTCAAATATTGATATATTTTCTCAAAGTTCTCTAAATAACAGACAAATACGACAATGATAATAATAAGTATAATATTTATTCACTCGATGTACAAAGAAAGCAATATGAGTAAATAAATATAAAATAAAAACATGCCCAATAGGAAGCGTTGCCTGTGGATGGACCAATAATTTCAAGCTGTGACGAATCATAAAAAAGGGCAAGAATCAGTAAGAGTGGATTACTTTTCCAAATGTCTCTTCAAGTAATTTCCGAAATGTAAATCTTTTAAATCATTAGGTATAATTTCATAAAATATGACCGCTACATTATAGACTTATGTGGCTGAGAAACTACTGTGCCACTAATATTTTTTGTACCTTGTATAATAATTATGTTAAATCTTTTGGTCGGTATTGACAAATTTTTGTCAGTGAGTGATAATGTGTAAGAAATAAAGTACTAATATAATTCGTCAGTAGGATAAAGTTTCGAAGTTTTTAACATCGTTTTTAGAATAATTTGTTAAACAATATCTAAATTATAGATATGTGATAAATGTACAGTTCCCCATGCTAATATACCATATGTACGATGAGTCTCAATCAATGCAAAACTCCAAGGTATTTTATGTGTGGTACTCTATTAACATGCAGTTTTTGATCATTAATGCTGTAGGAGATATCTATCTAATCTGGCAAATGTCTAGCATAAGATGGTAAAAAATGTGTTTTAGAATAGATAATGATCTATTTTCTGCTTTTAAACCACCGAATAAACATACATACTTCAAAAAATACTTTTTTCCATGGACTAGACAATTTGATTTGCTATCGGTTATGATCATTTGACATGAATATTGCTGTGAAAGTTTTGTGGTAATAAATTTAGACACTAGACAACAAAAATTAAAAAGTTTGGTGATGGTGGGATTCGAACCCACATATCCGGTTTTGTAAGCCGGTACCCTACCATTAGGCTACACCACCTCAGTAGTTTTGGAATAGAAATTTCCTAGGATTGGTTCGCATACCACGTAAACACACTCAGTGGCAAAGAAAATGGAACACTCGCTAAGAAGAATTTCGATTGCTCATGTCCAGTATTCCAGCAGTAAGAAATGTTAATATTTCTATGCTCTCCGTCGTTTGGTTTTTCTACGATAGTTTTTCATAATTTTGTACTCTTAGTTGAGCGTGAGAATTTACAAGAAGAATAAAATTGTTTCGTGTTTTCATTTTTGTCACTAAGTATATTAAAATGAACGGAACCCAGTATCACCGACCTCTTCTGCAGATTTTGCCTATCCAACATGCCATTAGATGTCGCTACCATACCGCGAATTTATAAAAGTGTTCCCAGTCAAAATTCTGCCGCTTATAATAGTTATTTATATGTTCTAGGGTGTTAAGTGGGCGTTATGTTACGCGGCGTCCATAAAAGTCAAACACAAACTCATTTATATAGAACAATAGTGCTAATTATTTTAGCACCTTGTATAATAATGACAAAAATGGTATTTTCATAAAGCATCAGGCTTCAGATAATCAATTTACTCTCGTTTGACATCGATATGGTTTTAAGTTAAACGTTCTTTTTTAGACAGTTTTTTTATTTATGATACAAGATCCGATATACTGCTTCTTCCATTTTGAAAATATAGTGATTCTGATATGATATTTAAATTAATCACAAGCAACGATCCAAAAACTATAGGCCATAAATTGATTGTCCTCTGTCTCACAATCACCTGAGGCGTCAACCAACTAAGCTAAACAGTCAAAATTTCAATGAACTTAGAACGTCTCTCGCAATTTATAAGTTTCAAGAGGCATTGTTTAGGGGGTCTGTATTTCTATGGAGGAGCTCGCACTTCGACTTATATGACATTATTTGTGCTCAATATGCCTCCTATAGAAGGATCACTTTTTCTGGAATACTTCGAATAAATGTTGTATGAAATCATTTTAGGCTCTAGAGTGCATCACTCTATACATTCAAGCGCTCTCAGGCAGCAAGAACTTATTTATAGGACTTCCAGGCAGTCGAATTTAAAATAAAAAAATCAAAAGAATCAAACATTATTTCATTTACGCCAAGAAAATAACTAATTGACATTGCATTCTATTGTAATAGTAAATCATTCTAAAGAGGCTCTATTGGTTAACACTATTCATAATCTTCACATTCCTACACCTGCAATTTACACTGAAAGAGTCATATAAGCGCGGTCTGACAACAAAAGGGAATCCTAACCGTATAACATACTACAAAGCTGAAAGCTGCTTATAACGTTATACTTCCATTCATGCGAGGTGAATGGAAAAAAAATGGATGAAATATGGAACCTTTTCTGGTGCTGTCTAGCTTATGATTCATTTAAATGAGTATAGGTTGCTTATCTTTATTTAATTTACTACCTGGTCCAATCATAATCATATATTGTACTTGACTTGGAAAATGCAGAGAAGTAGTGAAATAATGTAAAGAGCGCTTCAGGGGTCTCTCTGGCATCTTAAAAATCTTTTCAAATCCATATCTGTAAGAAGGTGTCCAGGAGTATGTGAGTGATCCAAACTGTTCTGAATTAAAAACACCGACAAGCATCCTCGATGATTGACAGGTCTCACTTGAGGGCTGATCTACTACCGACTTCTAACCGATACCTACAACCGAGGAGTAACCCTTTCTTGAATCCCTACCTTCAAGGAGACCTTGAGGAGTCAGTTCTGAAGTAGCTGGACACCCCAGAATAACCTCGGTAATCAACGGGTTGCAGCAGAGGACTGATCTCCAGCCTACTCCCAAATCCCTCTGTAAAGAGATTTTTAGGAGTGTCTGTGCAATGTTGTTGGATCCTTGGAGTATCCAGAGAGATCACTGAGCTCTTCTCTGCGTACCACTTGATTGTTATGTCTATTCTCAAAAACTCTATATCTGTAAGGTCCATGCCTGTTGGATGGACATTCTCAGTAGCCCGTGGATACTTTCAAGCTCATATGTAGGCTTTCAGGTGTCCATGCCTGTCCGACCCTCCTGAGGTATCCAAACCCGTCATTCGATATCAACGGTCGGTTTCCTATTCACTTCGGTGCCTTTTAGATTCCCCTTCTGAGGTAGCCAGATACCCTGACGCATCCATGGATTACATTCTGCGCCTATTCTGATACTTAATCCTTTCAAATCCCTGAGGTAACCAAAGACCAGGAGATGTCCTTGATGATGAAAAAGTTAAAGTTGAAAACTGATCGCCATCGATGTCTATATTTGGCCTGAAAAAGTTTCTTAAATCCATATCTGTATGGAGGTCTTCAGGAGTCCGTGCCTGTCCAAGGCCCCTTCTGAGGTAGCCGGACACCCTGAGGCATCCACACCCGTGAACGACTGCGGCGGAGGTAGAGGCGGTGGCGGCGGTATCGACGATTACCTCTTTCGAAAACGGAAAAAACCGTCACGAAAAAAAGAAAAACACGGCCGCAACGGCAGCGAGTCAGTTCAACTGTTCTGAGCCCTAAAGCGACAGGCCACATCTTCGCACACTGTTAGCACAGTTAAAGTAGAACTGAAGTCAATTTAGGGCTAGTCGCTGTTCAGAGACGATATGGTGGAAACACTAAATGTAGTTAGCCATCTAAGATAATTAGTTGGAATTGCAACCATGGTATTTTTCTTTTTTTTATACTCCAACTACCACGAAGGCCAATGGGGTACCGTGGGGCTCTAGGGGGCAACAGGGGAAAGGGGCGACGCCACACGGACTCTAGCGAGGGAACATGTGTGCATGCAATAAGCATACATTCTGGCCCCGCCTACGAGATCCGCCAGGTGGTACCTCCGCGTTCGATAATCTACCGTCTACCACCTACGGGCAATCACAACATCCATAGCCAAGAGAAAAATGTCTCTCTGCCACTGCGGCCACCGCTGATGCCTGAAACCCTCTCTGCAAGGTCGCCTTCGTTCAAAAGATGTCATCCATTTCTTAAGGTTAATTCAACTAACAAAGTATTATCTCTATGACGGATTTCTGGCCTCTATAGTTCATCAAAGAATTTGCCACAGTTGAACGGAAGTTATTCAACTTTGTGACCATATATTATAATTCAACTATTGAATTTACAGGTAACGGAAATATAAAGCTAGAAAATATCGTATAGTGATCCACAATGTTATCAACTATCGCAAAACATCAGATACTGCTGTCAATTATCTGTTTGGAGTTGTAATGAGTATGAGTATCAATTATTTATTATTAATATGACTACAACTGGATTTTCCCCTTTTCCCCTTTTTTGTATGTATTTTAAATTATAAAGAGTAGGCAAACCAAGCTCATGCACTCTTTTCTACGTAAATTAAATTGAAGGACTCATTACAGGCCATCATTACACAACTATGTCGTTGCATATTTATCTCTATTATAGATGTATTAATGGAAACAGCAGTTCTAACAGATAACTGCTGTTCGGTCGAACGGTGGTCGATTCTGGTTATAGATGGGACCTTGTGCAATCTTATTTTGATACTTCTTATACCTCAGATAGAGGTTAGTCGCTCTGATTTTGTTCGTTTTCCTACCTGAGACCAAGCCAAGATTGTCTGATGATTGCCAAAAAGCATGAAACAGATATACACGGTTTGCCGTCCTTGGTCGCGTTATGAGATGCATCTCAAATCATGATGGAACAATATGGAATACAATCTGACTGGTCTATAAGGTGGCCGATGGCGAGTGGCTGGTCGGTATGAAATCTAGAGTGGCTAAAGGCCTAAGGGCACATGCTACTACTTGGTGCCTGCACGCACGCATCTTCCACAGTCACGGCAAGCTCTGATGCTGATCATCATCATCATCATCATGCCGAGAGATGCCAATAAATGACCGAAGAAATGTCGAGTCGTCTTAAGCCGCGTTTTCACCTTGGTTACATTATTTTCAATGGTTTACTATCTCATGACAGACCAGATTCGGTTTTCATAGAAAGCTATGACACCTGGTTCTAGTTTGTGAGCTTTCGTTTACGATTACATGATATATCATCAGGATATGATATAGTATGACGTATCTAGAGTACGTGTCATTCTTCCAACGAATACATACTTCCTTCGATTAGGAAATTATATCCTTCTACCAAAATCCTTAAGTACGTTAAATAATATTATCGAGAAGTTCCAGGATAGGTAGTGTTTTGTGGTCCCCAGGTTCCAGCCTACTACTTCGTCGATCCAAGTATATCGTTTCCTTGGGTCCAGTGCATCTGTTTTATTATTTTTATGAAAGTAGATGCATAAGTTACTTGGTAAAGGTGTTTTTTAACATGTTTAACTTGTATGTAAGGGAATATTTCAACATAATTTCCACCAATGTCAATACGAGTATATAAGTTGAAAACTTACCCAGGGGTCAAACGCCGTTGACAATACAATTATATTTTACAAAACAATCGAAAATTGAAATTGAAATTGAAAATGAAAATTATTAAGAAGCTTGAACTATGAAATTTGGAAAGAGTTTGGATTTAAAAATTTGAGAGTAATTGGAAAATTCGGAAATTTGCAAAATAATTTGAAGATTTGGAGATTTTGAAAAAAATGGAAATTGGAAAAAAATGGAAATTTCGAAATTTGAATGGACCAAAAATCGAAGCTCTTGATTGTAAGTAATTTTGTTGTCATTCTTGGACTATAAGTTAAAAAAATAAATTATAATAGAAAATTCCAAGTATATGAGGGTACCTGTATGTGTTACTGCAATAGAAAGTCTAAAAATCAAGTATGACTGATTAATTTGGAATAAAATCAATATATAAATTGAGATGTTAACAAAAGAATCAATTATAGCAAAAAAGCAATTAACTCTATTTTCTTAATAATGTAATTTTTATATGATCTTATTCCTTATTAATTAGTGATATTTGATTTTTGGACTTTATACTGAGTAACACAAAGTCTCCTATACAGATAGATTTCTTTTAAACTGCCTAGGGTT